GGGAGAAAGTCATAGAGTCATCCACCCGTCTTTCTTTCATCGAACTGGAATATATCAGCCTTTAACAATACACAATCATCTTTTTAAATTAGAAAAAATACATGTTATGCTCTTTAGATATTTTCAGCACTGTGTTAAAAGTCAAATTAACAAATTCTGTGCAATTACCAACAGTGCCCTAGGCACCAATCGCCATACTTTGTACTGGGGACATGGAGCTAGGGTCACCATAGCCAAGGAGCTCACAGCCCCAGAGAGAAGATAAGCAGGAAATTTAAGCAGATAACTGTGATATCATGTGGTAAGTTTTATAAGAGGGGGTTTGACAAAGTGCTGTGGCAGCAGAGGAGAACAGTCTACCAAACCTAGGTCCAGGAGGCTTGGAAGGGGAAGGGCACCTGGCAGGAGCACTGTGAGCAAAGGCGTGGAGCTGTGAGCACACATCTGCGCTCAGGGGGGTCAGAGGGACCCAGAGAGGCGAGACGGCTCTCACTGAAGGGAGGTGAGGCGGAGAGGAAGGGGAGGGATTCCAATGTATTCCATGGGCAGGAGGGAGGCAACAGATACTAGGGAAGTGAGAGTCCAGATTTACTTTTTAAACAGCTACCTCCGGGCTAGGGTTGCCCATAGAGCCATCCGAAGGCCCTTGTAATGGCTCAGGCAGGAGCTAAGGCAGTAGTACCAGTGGGGAGAAGAGGCCCAACTGGTATTGACATGGTGAAACTGACCAGAACAGGAGATGAAAGAGAATGAGGAGGTGAGTGACATGTCCTTGTCAAGAGCAGTATGGCTGAGCTGTCAAGCACGGGGGAATGGGTATACACTGCATTACAAACACAGACTGAAAGAAGGAACAGATCTGGGAGGGAAGCGGATTTACATTAATTTGAGTTATTATCAGCAGTGCAACAAGGAGAAACAGCCACAATGCACAACTCAGTAGAGAGGGCAGCAGTGTAAACAGGGCCAGAGGACTGGACAAAACCCTCCAGGAGCAGCCCAATAACCCAATGAGAAGTGTCGGTGGGGGCCTCCCAAAGAAGAGGAGCATTCATGGAACAGGTACAGGAGGAGTGGAAGGGCTCACAAGATGAGTAACTAGGAATTTTTTAAAGCATATTCATAACTCCGAGACAGCATTCAAAAAAAGGCTCACAAATACTAAAAATTTTAAAAATATTTTAAACAAATATAGGAATGCTTTGATTAGATATGACGCACTAAATTGAAAGTTTTTTTTAAATGAAATATCAGAATTATTCATTATGTGGTCAAATTTTTCCACTTGTCTTCCAGCAGGTAAATATTATTTAAAAAATACATTAATTTTTCAGCAAATCTGAAAGTCTTATATTTTACAATCTACTGAATGATACCTGTTT